AAGAAAGAAGAGGAAGAAAGAAAAGTAGAAAAAAGAAGGTAGGGAAAGTGATAAAAAAGAAAAAAAAAGTTGAGGAGGGAGAAGGAGATAAAAGCGAGATAAGTATATGAGAGAGAAGAAAGAAATAAAGTATAGACAAAAAAGAAATAAAGAGAGAGAGGAAGGGGGAAGAGTAAAAAGAAAAAGATATATATATATATATATATATATATATATATATATATATACATGTGATATATTCGACTTTTAGGACAAGTACTAAAAGTATGTCAGAGAGAATGTACAAACGGAGAGGAACATATCTTCCCTTTTATCATCAAAAGTTCAAGATATCGTCAATCAACAAACGGGTTTATTGCATTAAGCACCCCTGTGTTTACTCTAATTGCTAAAAAAAGTCCAAATGTTCTTCATATTACCGAAAATCCCCCCTATAATGCAATTGTTTTGGCAAACTACCCCCACAAAACGCACAATTCATGCATTATTTTAGCAAACTACCCCGTAAAAACGCACCATTCAGGGTGGTTGTGTGCTAAAATAAAATGCATAATAACGCAGGGATTCTTTTAGCAATTTGATATACACAAGGGTACTAAATGCAATAAAATATAGACTTCCAAGTCTCGTAAAGAAACGGAATAACAGTAATTTGACGATCATATCAAAAAAAAAAAAAAAACCTGATATTTTTGAAATTCTTTTGAATCTCCAGCTTCAACTCGGGCCCACGACCTTGCCATAATTTAGCTTCGTCGAACGGAAGTGGGCATGCAGCTTGCAGTTTAGGGTTATAAAGAAGCTGCTTCATTAAAGACTGGGCTTTCAGATCCTCCACGTGGTTACCAGAATCGTATTCAGCTTGCTCCAAGTAATTTGCAGCCTGCATATATAATTATATATTAAACAAAATACATACAATTGGTTACTTTCGTCACAGTAGCCAGAATAAAAAAAATGCTTACTTTTGTGACAGCTCGGAGAACAAACATGAAAGTGAAGTACAAATTTTTCACTCGATCGGGATACCTCAATACTCGATCATGCATCAACTCCAGATTTCTACCCCACTAGAAATTGCCAAAAAAAATAAAATAAAAAATTATCAGATTCCCATTTGTATATTTCCGGAAAATTTAGAAGGACTAGAGTAGAAAAGACGAACCAGATTATTAGCTTCGTCGAGAAGGTAATCAGAGGCAATGTGAATTGAAATCGAGGAGTGAAGGCCCGATATTAACTTGTACAACACTCTTTTCTCTTTACATACTTGTCCTGATGTATCTGCAAAAACAGAATAAAGATAATTAACACAGGAAAACAAATTCTACGATTTACGTAACAATTGCAAAGTTATACAACACATGGAAAAGAAATAAAAAGAAATAAGATAATCTTTTCATTATCAAGAAGGGTCCTAATTCTTCTTTCAAAAGTCGAGAACTGTTTCTAATTCCAATTATTGGAAAACGTTATCAAGTTAAAGAAAAACACCGAAACTAGTGAAAACGAAAGAAACGCGTAAAAAAGACCTTGACCGATGTAAAATATGCAGCACCAGCTCAAATAAGTACAATATATTACAATGGAAACCGTACTACATTTAAATATTAAGACAAGAAAACTAACATTTTGGGCAATTTTCGGAATAAATAGCATCCCAAATCCTTCTAGCCGAAGGCCCGGTATAGCCAGTGTACCGTTCGGGATTCAATTGCAAATTAACATACGTCATCTCACCTGCACATGCAAGAAATATCAATTAAAGCCATGCATTAGTGTTAGTATATATGAATTATTCATTAAATTTAATATTATTATTATAATCGTTGAAAAATAATTTACTGTTATCAGTTTCGTCGTCTTCTGTCCACGGATTATCGACTTCAATCCACCCCCTAAACGCCTTTGAATCGAGAGTTCGGTCAACTGTACCCTGTGGCTTTCCCTCTTGACATTTTAAATCATCGGACGAAAGGCTATTCTTAATCGGTTTCTTAAATAGTTCCGGAAATTCATTGTCTGGACATTCACATACACTACAATCACGTAATTTGCACATTCCGTCGTCGGGCCAAAAAGGGCAGTCACACCACAACTTTACCTGCCATATTCATCGAGATAAATGAGATTTTTCTTTTCTTTTTTTTTTTTTTTTTCTGTTTTGAGAAAAGAATAGGCACATGAGATTTAAGGACTTGAAACTAACGTAATCGAAAATTTTCGGAGTTGGCAAAGAGAACTGAAGAGACACGTTTAAAAAAAAAAAAAAAAAAAAACATCATTGTAGAACACCTATCCGGTATTCCATGACAGAAGACGATACTTTGCGTAAGAATATATGTAACTAAAGGGCGTTTTTAAAATTAAATCGGTGGAAAATGCACAATGATAAACGAAAAATTGAAATCATCAACGAAATATTCAATATTGGGCATGTAGGTTTTTTTTCCACTGACCTTATAATATCGGAAAAATGGAGTTTTAACGAGTTCTTGAAGTAAAGGGTGGAGTACTGCACCATTAACACTGTCGACTGTTTCATAATCACAACAGCAGTCCTCAACTATACCCGTATATTTTCGAGCATCCTGCATTTTAATGAAGCAAATAAAAGAATGATGACAAAATGCAATCAACGCGGTCCCATTGCAGCAAAACTCGTATAGGCAAGAACGATAAGTAGTTACTTAAGAATCAAGAATCGTTATATGTACGTATATAAAGAAAGGCTAATATGCGATGCAAACGCCACAAAGACGGTGATGAACCGTAAACGTCTACAATTCGCAGTTGACAACGTGTTGTTTTCTGCCAAAACATTGCATAATTCGAAACATTTTTCATCACTAGAATTTACGAAATTCCCAGCTCGAAATTCCGCAAGAACACACAATCGAGCATCAATTTAGGAAAAGGAAAAAAACATAAATAGTATAGTAGGAGTCAAAATCACTAATTATATGCAACAACTTTCATTTTCCATTTTCTGGTAAAACATTGCATTTTTAGTGATGTATAATAGCATAATTTGAAAATTTTCATCAATAAAATTTAAGAAATTCCCGGCTCGAAATTCTGCAAGAACACACAATCGAACATTTATTTAGAGAAAAGGGAGAACATAATTACTAAATTATATGCAACAACTTTCAATCTCTATTCTCTGGCGAATGATTTAGTATATTTAGTGATGTAATTGCGTAATTCGAAACATTTTCATCACTAAAATTTACGAAAATCCCAACTCAAAACTCCGCGAAAAAACACAAAATCGAGCATCATCAATTAAGAAAAGAGAAAGCATAAACTGTATCTTAGGAATACAATTCACTAATTACATGCAACAACTTCCATTGTCCATTTTCTGGCAAAAAAAAATGCATATTTAGTGATATGATTGCACAATTCGAAACATTTCATTACAAAAATTTACAAAATCCCCAGCTCGAAACTCCGCAAAAAACACAAAATCGAGCATCAATTAAGAAAAAGGGTAAAACATAAATAGTATCCTGGGATTCAAAAATCACTAATTATCAATTCAAGAAATTCCAAAAAAAAATAAAAAATTCAGACAATGAAAATTGACAAGAATTATAACAAACCTGCGAACAGAGACAAGACTTATGATTCTGAGCGTGGTTGGAAGTTACAGCTATGGCGGCCATTAACACAACAAATGCACCCATCACTCCCCATTTTATCTTCCCTCTTTTTTCCCCCTTTGGTAATTTTTTCCCAATTTTATTATCGCAATTCTCCACCATCACATCTACACTCACTAAGAAACAATATTCTTTCAATCTGTACAATTTTTCTGTGTATATATATATATATATATATATATATATATATCTATATATATATATATATATATATATAAACGTGTATACGTATATGAATATATATATATATACAAAAAAAAAAACCCCAAGAATCGACAAAACCCACTGAGAAAAACAGGTGAAATTTATATATGAATCAGTGTTAATTTCCGTTCTCGGGTGCGAACAGATTTTTCATGGGTTTTGGGGGTTCATATATATATATATGTATATATATATATTGACACCATTTTTACGAATTGGGTCAAAACAGAACACGGATTTGGACACAAAGACGGTCGGGGATGGTAGGCGTTTTGGTGGCAAGGGTTCCGTACTCTCACTGGTGGCGCGTGATGGACAGATGCGAAGTGTCGGACACGTGTCGGGTCGGGAGGGCGCGTTATCTACACGACTTGGATTTGGCCGAGTGAGATGAAACGTATCATTAATTACGAAACAACGCGCCAAAGGTTTAGTCAAGTGACGATGGTGCAACCAATAGGAAATTCGAGTTTTGCCACGTAGACTTTTGTAATTATGTGTGTTCGGTGTGTATTGTAGTACAATTACTCTTCTTTCCTTTTCAGTAATTTTTTATTTTATTTTATTTGATGTTTGAATATATCAAAAATTAAATATGGAAATACTTTCTCAAATAAATATTTTAAGAGGCTATTTCAGTTATGCCCACAAAATTAAGAGGGTGTTTGGCTATACTTATAAGATGTTAAAGTTTCATTTGACCTCCTCCGCTAGAGCCATGGCGCCACCGCCACCGCCAAGCTCCAATCGATTGACTCTAATTAGTTGACTTTCGATTAGCACTCAGGAAAAAAAATAGTTCGAGTAATCAACACCTATTTCACATTCTTAAGCAAAAAATATTGTCATGTTTGTCACTAAAATTGTGTCATTGATTCTATATAGCGACAAATATCTAAATTAAAAAAAATTCAGTGCCAACAAGGAAATTTTCACTACTTATAACTTACAAAATATTATCACTTAATATAAATATTTAACGACGAAGTTGTTACCATTGGGGTGTTATGGGAGCCATTTTTTTTTCTTGTACCGAATCATTTAAAGTACTTCATAATATTGAAAACTGAAATGATTTGTGCAAGCCAAAATTAAACATTCAGGCACATTTTTTACCATTCTTCAAAAAACAAAAAGTAAAAAAACTCAAAACTCTCTCAACCTTTCGATTTTCTTTCGCAAAGCCTGTGCAAATCGTCAACAGATCGGAGGTAATTTTTACGTTTTTACGATCATCTTGTTATGTAGATTACGAATCCGGAAAAAAAAACGAAAAAAATCACACGTTGGCCTGCTCGTGTGAATTTACACGAGCACATCCACTGTGCTCGTGTAAATTCACACGAGCAGGCATTTTTATTATTTGTTTTTTTTTTTTTAATTGCTCGTGTAAAAACACACGAGCGGTTGCAAAGTGCTCGTGTGATTTCACACGAACGCTTTTCAACCGCTCGTGTGTTTTTACACGAGCAGATTAATTTTTTTTTTTTTTTTTTTTTTTTGAATTATAAGATGCTCGTGCAAAAACATGCGAGCATTTCAACAGTGCTCGTGTGAAATCAGATGAGCACTGTTGAAATTCTCGCATGTTTTTGCACGAGCACAACAATTTAAATTTTTTTTTTTTTTTAATTTTATTGGATAGGAATAGTACAAAAGGTAAATAGTTATGGTAAAAAGGTAAAAAATCATGGTAAAAAAGTGCCTGAATGTTTAATTTGGTCTGCGTATATCATTACCCTATTGAAAATAACTAATGGATGAGTGCAACTTCAAAAAATTCTTTCTTTAGTAAAATGCTTTTGCCAGCTAAGTTATATGTACAAAATGAATGTCGATAAATATGTTAAATATTAAATTCAATAAATTCTTTAATTATTTATTTAACCAGGGTTGATTCGGGTTGATCATAGTGAAATCAAATTCGACTCATAAACTTTTTGAACTTAATAAAATTGCTCAAACTCGATCAATATCGCAATTAACTAGGTTGGCCTACTAGATTTGGTGGGATGGTACTACTTATGCTACGTAGCATGTTGATATTTATTTATTTATCGAACAATGTAGCATGTTGATGTAATATATCCGAGTTTTTTTGTTGGAATTATTAGTTTCATTTCATTCTTGTTAATAACCAAAAAAGTTGCAGTGGAAACTTAAAAACACAACTAAAAAATAAAGGGTAAAGTTCATTTTACCTACCTGAACTATACCCAACGTATAAAAATCCCCCCTGTACTTCAAAACGGCCCTTCCGTTTAAAATCCGTCTTCCCTCGCTGACGTGGCATGTTGACTCTTTTTAATTATTACATTTATTCCAGCTGTTATTTTTTTAGACAAATTTACCCCTCTGTTTAATTATTTCTTCACGTCAACAATTACTTTTACGTAAGGAAAAAAAAAAGAGATTTAAATATAAGAATTTTCAGAGCCGAGACATATAAATGACGTCATTGGCCGGCGAATGAACCAACATCCAACTGAATTGAAACTCCAATAAAACCAAAAATAAAATAAAATTTGATACTATCGAAATTAATTCCCGAGAAATTGACAATTAAGTTGTGGATTTGAAGAAATAAGGGTTTACAGATAACCATTCTTGCATAGTTCACCTCTTGAAATCCCACTGCAAAAAGAAAAGAAAGAAGAAAAACTAAATGACAATCGCCACGCCAGATCCGTTTTCCGGTCGTCAGCCGTTCGTAACGCCGCAACGAGGCTGGTCTTCCAACCAAAAGCTGTTCGCTCACCGCCTCTTCCAACTGAATCACTATGTGTGTGTCTTTATTAATCGAGAAGTATGCAATTGAATTCATCTGTGGTTGAGAAACTTTGAATTCTATGTAACGGTTGACTCTACTCTGTCTGTGTGTGAAGAAAGGGTGAATTGCCAGATGTTGAAATTAAATTTTGGCAATTTAAACAGGCAATTGGCCCATGGAAATATACATTTTTAATCGGAAGTAAGAAGAGTAAGAAATGGATGCAATATACATTTCCAGCCCACCAAACTTCACATCAAGTTCTACAGGTTCGGCAATGGGGAAAAGAAAAAAGAAAAAAATTAAAAAAATTATGGACAAGGAAGACGGAGAAGAAGGGAGGAAGAAGATTTTGGGGGTAAAAGTGTAAAATCACATTAAAACTAACGGTGTTAATTTTTTTGACATATTTAACGTTGACCAATAAAAGGGAGGGGTTGTTTTGGTTCATTTTGAAGTTGAGGGGGTATTTTACACGTTGGGTATAGTTCAGGTAGGCAAAATGAAGTTTACCCAAAAATAAAAATAAAAATCATATTTTATGGTTGAGTTAACTGCAGAGGAAACATGAACGTAAATAAAATAATTATAAAATATTTTTCAATGCTCAGAACTTGGCTGATATTTTTTTTATTATTATTTTATTATGGATAATAAATATTAGTTGAGGTTTTTTTATTCTCACTTTTTATTCTTATATATATATAAAGGTCCAAGGGCCTAGCTCAATATAGGCCCATAAATACATGCAAGATTTTTCTTATGGCGAAAGCCCAACTCATCTCTTTTTACTTAATTTGGATTTGAAATTTAATATTTGAAAGTTGTAGATTTTTTTAGTTAGTTTTACAATTCATTTTGATTCACAACTTAAAAGTTCCTATTATCAAGGTTCCTTCGACCCTACACCCGGTGTTTTTCACCGGGTGTAGGGTCGAACAAATCCTATTATCAACGTGCAAATCTAGGAATGAAAAAGTTTTCCTCAATAAACCTATAAGTTTCCAAAATATTTGGACCCAATCCATGCATTCTAAAGCTTCTTTTCAAATTGTCTCGAAAACCGCTTCCATCTTTCGTTTTAAATGGCATCCACCTCCTATAGACTGGTATAAATTAAACATTGATGGTGCATCAAACTCTAACCCAGGGAATGCAGATATTGGTGGGATCATTCGAGATCATAATAATGGAAACTTCGTGTCCGCATTTTCTAAAAACATTGGCATTTCTTCTAACAAAATAAGGCTGAAATGTGGGATTTTTTTCAAGGAATTAAAATGGCAAGGGATCGTGATATAAAGAAATTAATTATCGAATTTGACTCTTTATTTTTGATCATTTGTGTCTCTAGACAGGAGGTGCCCAAGAACCTCAATGTTCTCCGTGAGGGATCACTGAAGATGCTAAATAGGTTTGAAGAAGTTATACTGCAGTTTGGATATCGAGAGATTAATGGAGCTGCGGATGCACTTGCTAAGATGGGCATTATATTGAATAGTAATGAAACTAGATATTTTGAATCATGTCCTCCGTTTTTTAACAACATTCTAACTGGCAACATAACTGAATCTTATCCTCGCAGATGTTGTTATCCTTGTATTATAACTGTTATCTCGAAGTAATAATATTTTATTGTTTTTCTGTTCAAAAAAAAAAAGGTTATGCCATATTATATATAGTTTTTTTTTTTTTTTTTTTGGTAACGAACAATCATCGAGCCAATTATATAGATGCAGAAGATAAATCTACACTCTCGTATACTAGTTTGCAAATCATACGAGAGACTTAAATCACACTAGGCTAACCATGTATGACAAGTTCCACCAAGCGACTGTTATAAGAGGATTCGAACGTGGGTCAATTGATACAAACTCATTTGCTCCAACCGCTAGGCCATCCTTTTTTACGGAACTTTTTTTTCTCTAATTTCGTTTTCTAATTATTTATTTAATTATTTATACATTTTGAGGCTGTATTTCTCTTTTGTCCTTGCAAGTAGTCAAGTTGTTGACTTTATATTCCTCCCCCAAAAAAAAAAGATTCTATCAAGTTCAAGATAAATAATTCCATTCATAGAATGAGTATATATGTTCCTTTAGTTTTGCTTGAATTTTATTGTTCCATATAGTTCCAATTAACAACCTAACTAACTGTTTTTTTCTTCTCTTTGTTTCTTCTTGAATGATACAAAAAT